AAACCATATGTTAGTCCCGAAATGACCTAGTTTGTGTCGAGTGGACGTTAAACCCCATTTCTCTCTCTCTCTCTCTCTCTCTCTCTCTCTCTCTCTCTCTCGGCTTACTCATATTTGGCGCCTTATAGACGCCATATGCAAGCTTCCCAGTATGTTAACATCCATTAAACGGTTATATCCCTTATTTTGGGAATTTCATTCAATAACACTTCCATCCTCTTTCATATGCTTTTGTTTCAACATCAATTACTTCCAACATATTCATTCATCGAATAACATCCTGAATGAATGACGTCGACATACGGTTTATCAATAATTCATTGCATCCTTGTGCATCAAACATTCCCCTTTTATAACATCCTGTATGATGTAAAGGTCAAGAGACCCTGAAAATCCAACTGCACATATACGATTGTGCGAAGGCCCATAGTGCCAAAAATAAATTGTTTTTAAAAATTAAGCCGTTTGAACGAATTACTATCTGGGTTGAACGAATTACTAATTAGCCTGTTTCAACGAGTTAGTATCTCGTTTGAACAAGTTAGTATTTCTTTTGACCGAGTTACTATCTCGTTTGAAGGAATAAATTATCTCGTTTGAACGAATAAATTATCTCGTTTGAACGAATTAGTCATCTGGTTTGAACGAATTACTTATCTCGTATGAAGGATTAGTATCTCGTTTGAACGAGTTAGTATTGTACAGAAGCGTAAAAGGGACATGGAGAAATTGTGATCCTAACAGGCGTTTCAAGTAAAGATAATGTGATGATTTAATACGTCCGTTATCTCTAAGGTTAGCGACAGTAGAAGGAAAGGCATTTGGGTCGTTCCATGTCAAGTGGGTCAATTTTCAGAAATTTGGAAAATTGACCCCCTCGAAAAAATCTGGAAACAATATATGTTATTGTACATGCAAAAACTAGAAACTGTGCAAAATTTATGATCTGTAGCTTAAAAATTGACTTAGATACGGGCATTTGAGTTTCATGAGTTACCATAAGTTTTCGAAACTAAATATGTATCAATAATTTCCTCGAGTATCAGATATCTTGTTTTTACCTTTCTAGTGAAAATATACAGCTCACGTTTGGTTGTCTTAAAGAACTTTTTGTGTAGATTACGAATCTGCAATCAGTTTTCAGGTGAGTGATAGGGTTCGCATGCTACTTGGCCATGAAAACCGAAAACAATTTGGTGTAATTGTATATTTTCTGGATTTTGTAGTCTACTCAAGAAGTTCTTTTGAGACAACCAAATGTGAGCTGTATATCTTCACTAGAAAGGTAAAAACAAGATATCTGAAACTAAAGTAATTTATTGAAACATATTTTTGTTTCGAAAACTAATCGTAAATCATGAAACTCAAATGCCCGTATCTCTGTCAATTTTCAAGCTACAGACCACCATTTTTGCGCAGTTTCCAGTTTTTACATGTACAATAACATATATTTTTTCAGATTTTTTCGAGGGGGTCGATTTCCCACCCCTGGCCCACTTGACATGGAATGACCCATTTATGAAAAGGCGGATTAGTACGGCGTACGTTGAGAGTTATATATGTCTTAAAAGCCCACTGTATACGACTGCGTGTCAGTGGGTTTACATATTAAGGATTAATGTAATTGTTGCCAGGTTACTTATAGTAAAAGATTATGCCAGAGTAGATTTATTTCCAATCTAAGGAGGGATGAGAATGTGGGCGAGTTTCTAAAATAGAGGGGGATAGAAGAAACAACTAATCCGTGCCGTCTATCTTAATGGCGTGGGTCTTGTAAGAAAGTCTCTACAGTCCTCGGATGACACGAAAAACCACGAAGTGCAGCAGCTGAAAGAAGCAATACTGTCACACAGTACCATTGCGATACGGGAGTTCTGACATTATGACGTTGTTAAGATAATGCTAGAGAAAGTTTTATTAAAATCAATATTTTACTCACTATATCTACGATATACATAATATTTCCTTCAAATAAATTAATATAGATCAAATGCACTGCAAGTATCATAAATATCCTTGTCACAAGGTACATTTGAAAATGAAGCTACTTCCTATTTACAATGATGTATATCACAAGATGGTGCAACACGATCAACTGAATCCCATAAACACATGCCATTGTTACGTTTTCGTTTCTAGGTGGACAACTATTAAAATATTTTCAGGTGACTAAATAAATACTTGAAAAGTAGACGTAAATCATACTTACTTGATCGGTATACAAAATATTCTAATTATACATTTTTTTTGGTAACTATTTACTTCATCTCGATTGTAAATTTTGACGAAAAAGAGAAAAAAACACAATTTATATTAGTCCGGTGCCTGAAGGGGGGGGGGAATCGCCACCTGAGCTGTGAATTCATGAGACCAAGTTTTTCTAGACCAGTTTTTTGCGTAGATTCCGAATCTGGGTGGTGATCAGGCATTTGAGGGGGCGTTTTCGAGATATCGGGGATCCAATGTCTACAATTGGGGGAAAATGTGACTATGTTGACATAAATGATGATCATGTTATATATTAATAAAACATAAATTTCTAGGGCTGTCCATCTCTAAATAAGTGTTTATGATGGACCTGGACAACTGTTTTGATTTGTGGCGAGGTGGGATGGGTGGTTGCAGGTGTGCGTGTGCGTAAGGGGATAGGGGTAAAATTGGCGGGAGAAATGAGTTCACGTTGATTTAAATGATGATTTTCTATAAATATGTGTATAAGATTATAAGATTCACATTGTATGTGGGGGGGGGGGGGTAAATGTATTTTTGGGGACAGAAACCACATGGTTCAAAATTGACCTAAAAAGTGGCTTTGCGTTAGCTTTTTTTTCGTTCAGTACCCATTTCATCATTCAAAATATTAAATTATAATGCAGTCTGATTAAAACACAGATCCTATTTCGTTCTTTTTTTTATAGTTCAAAATTTCGTTTTACTTGTCTTCATAACACTAGAATCTGAAAGAGTTGTTATGTTAGCCGCGTTCTGTTTAATGTGAAGGATTAGCCCTTGAAACGGTCTGTTACGGCGAGTTCTTGTCAACGCTGGTTGATTAATCAATATCTAACGTCATAGGGTAAAAAGCCGCTCGTATGACCTCTGACGCCACCTCCCACTACAACCGGTCAGATCTTCATGTAGTGTATGCCATCGAAAGTATAAAAAAAACCGAAACGAAATATAGATCTGTATTTTAATCAGTCTGATTATAACAGTACTTTTCAAGAGATCTTGAAATGTGAATTAAAAAAACACAGTAAACAAGAGACATGTTTAGATAATAGTTTATTCTTATATTCTTCATCAGAAGATTCAAAATCAAAGTTCATAATATGAGTGGGATGAATATCTTCTTGATGACTGATCAACAACTCGCATATATCTTTTGGATATGCTTCAGATGCCCATTCGCATAGTAAATCTTCATTCCAGCCTTGTATCGCAAGGTCATCTTGTTCGATCATTGGTTTTGCAGTCTGTCTCCATATAAGTGTTGCGGGATTGTATTAAAGAAAGAAACAATTAAAATTCCTCCAGAAAATCTTTTTTCTAATGCCATCTACTGATGTAAGTAGTCTTTCGCCGTACATGGTACAAACAATTATTTATATTCCAGCAATTACGTCATCAGAAACATCATTTTGTCTGTCCCAGCTCTTTAAAAATTGTTAGAAAGTTGGAATCATCTTGTAAAAGAAAGACAGATAGTCATTTCCACTGAAAGCATGCAGGTCGAGATATTCCTCGACACTTTCAATACTAATCTTGAATGGATCAAAAAATATATCAAGATTAGTATTGAAAGTGTCGAGAATATCCTAGAACTGACAAAAAACCACGAGGACACCAAAATAGCTTACCTACTCCTCTTCGCATTGCAAATTAATGGAGGCGCTGAAACAAATTGTATTTTGCGTTCTTGCTGGGACGAAAGAGACATCTCAATCCAAAATACACATTTTAATCGATAATGAGACGGACAAATGAAGATCTACAATGTGAATTGGTATTTGAAGCATATCCAAAAGATATATGCGAGCTGTTGATCAGCCATAAAGAAGATATTTATCTCGCTCATATTATGAACTTTTGATTTTAAATCTTCTGGTGAAGACCAAGAATAAACTAATATCTAAATATGTCTCTGATTTACTGTGTTTTTGATTTACATTTCCAGATCTCTTGAAAAGTACCATTATAATTTAATATTTTAAATGACCAAATAGGTACTGAACGAAAAAGCTATCGAGAAACCACTTTTAAGGTCAACTTTGAACCAAATGACTTCTGTTCACAAAAATACATCTTGCCCCTTCCCCCTATGGGCACCCACCCCAACTCAATGGAAATCTTATACACATATTTATAGAGATATTTCATCAAGTTCTAAGAAAATCATCATTTAAATCAACGTGAATTCATTTCCCGTCAATTTACCCCCCCCCCCCCCCGACCCACCCACCCCTTCCACACACGCACACCTGCAACCACCCACCCCAACTCGCCACAAATCAAAACAGTTGTCCAGGGGCAGCATAAACACTTATTTAGAGACGGACAGTCCTAGAAATTTATGTTTTATTTATATATAACATGATCATCATTTATGTCAACATAATCACATTTTCCCCCAATTGTAGACATTGGACCCCCCCCCCCCCCTATCTCGGAAACTCCCCCTCAAACGCCTGATCACTACCCAGATTCGAAATCTACGCAAAAAAATAGTCTAGAAAAAGTTGGTCTCATAAATTCACAGCTTGGGTGGCGATTCTCCCCCTTCAGCCACCAGACAATCAAGCATTACAATTTTGACGAAGCTGTCCTATTTCATTTTGTGTGGTGAATACTCATGCTGTATATAATGAATAGTATAAGTAATTTATAGATAATAATCGTTTATATATTTATGTCAAAGTGAAAGTATTACTCATGTGCCCGGATAACTATACGTCAAGGTTAAACGGAAATTCTGAAGTAAAATTTACAATATAAACGGTTTCATTAAACTTCTCCAACCTTTCATTCACAGAAATTGATTCAGAAATTAAGTGTAGTATTTCAAATTTAACCTCTCGGCTACTCACCATGAAGGTTATGTATTTCACATTAGTTGTCATTGCTTGTGTTCATTTTGAAAATATTGAAGGTAATAGTCTCATTTATATCATTGTACTTTTTTTGTAGTTTCCTGTCATCTAGACATTTCTTTTCTTAATCATTCTTTTTTTTTTAAATTGATATATATTTTATTTTTATTTAATACATACCAACATGTTTTCGCCATTTTTGAATATTTTGTATCCCTTTTTAATATTTGGTACACGTTGGCGTACACTTAAAAGAACGATGTCCGTTGGGATTCGAAATACGGTTTGGCCATAGCGCCGCTGTCTGGGCAAAATTTCCCGACAACAAGAGCTTCGTTAGCCCGGATGGTGAAGATAAGAAGGAAGTTAACCCTCATTTCATTTCATTTTCGTTTCGATTTTATTTTTCTTAATCATTTCCCTCTGGTTCTGATCATGTTTAATGTCCTTTCAATTCTACTGATCTGTTCGAGCCCATCCTTCATTTATCCCGCCTTTCCATCTTATCGTTATTTTCACATTTCATCTTTTAGTTAATCTTTATCTCATTTATCTTTTCCTTTTATCACCCCTTTCACATTTGTCTTTTCGTTTTATCGTCATTTTCCCTTTCTTCTTATCGCTGTTTCCTGTTTCCATTTAAGATGTTTTGTGTCTTGTAATCTTGTTTAGTAAATATATACCCGTCTATGGTTTACATTGCCAATCACACAAACACAAATATTTTCTGGAGTGTCTAATGGTTCCTTTTAATAGAAACATTTATATTTGTATTTTCAGCTCGGTTTTGTGGTGTACGATGTGCGAGAAGAGCTGATTGTTTTAGTGGTCCCAGGCATCATTATCCTCAATGTGGGTCGTGTTTGTGTAGTGATAGAAATATTTTGTGTGAGTTGTAATTATTTTTTTCATTTCACTTGTTAAACCACTGGTAAAGAGCAAATAAATCTATTATAATACTGATAAGGTGTATAAATCGTAAAATTGGCTTTTGTGTGCGCCATTTAGGTCCTTAGGGGTGTCAGACTATTTTGCCTTTTGAACTTTGGAACGGTGTTCGAACACAGAAGAATGCCAAAAAAAATTTCAAAATGATTGGTGTATCTTTGTTGGCAGACCGACCACTTGTTTGATTGAAATTTAATAAAGCCGAGTCGAATTGAAAGAATTCTTAAAACCGATTTTTAATGATCGTGCCAGTTTTAAATGAAAAGAAATGCGCCCTGGTTTATCGTCCTGCTTTTGCATCTTTAAAAACCATGACATAATGTCTAATAATTGAATAAAATATAACCTCCCTAATGCGTCCTGTGTTCGGTAGTTTAATTTATATAATAATTTTTGAATATGGAAACGTTTTTGAATAATGATGCCCATCGATTATGGTGTGATTTGAGTATTTCATGTACGTTACTGATGGAACCCTAATGGTAGATGAACGTTGGTGATATCTGTGAAACTTTGTGAACTTTTAATTATTTTGAGAAACTTTATTTTTGGATGAGAGCGACAGTCCAATTGCTTCATAGTTCTATATATAGATGTATTTGATGCATTATGTGTTTATTTTATTTTGTAACTTTTTTCATTTTGTATAATGCGAGACGCATTAGGAGTAGCTGTAAACGAGTTTCTAAGCATAGAAATCGACAATTAACCATGATGCCTTTATTTTCTAGCTTGTCCAATCAATGATATTATACAATGTGCAGAAGGGTGTCAACTTAAGACACGGAATGGATGTTGGAAGTGTTCCTGTTATCAACAATGATCATACTACATAGGACGAATATAGGTCTATACAACTCTTCTTACACCGACAATCTCCGTGTTAGAAATAAAATCACTTTTCCGTCACCAAAGCTCTCACCACTGCCTATCTATATGTATACAGAGCACACTGTCTACAGATTTAAGTCCCCGACAAACTACAGCTTATTTTTGTGGCTTCGAAACCGCAGAGACTAATAATTTTACAAGGATGTGATTTAGTACGATTGTGAGACAGTAAAATGATAATGATGTGACGTTTAAAGTACGAAAGGTTCAAACATTAAATACCCTTGAAGGCATTTTACTGTGCGGTATATAAATTATTTGTAAATATATTTTAGTTGTAAAAAACATGGTAATGTATTTTATTTATAATGTTAGAACATACGTGTATTCTGTTATTGCTAATAAACTATACTGATATGTGTTTTTTCTGTCATTTTGGTGTTACATAGAATTCTATATTCACACTATATGTCTGTTTTAAACAGAGTCAGAGAAAGAAATGGGGTTTAACGTCCACTCGACACAAACTAGGTCATTTCGGTACTATTTGGTTGAATTTTATTTCAATAATTCGCTTGTGCGTAGGGGTCTTTAGCAGTGAGAGGAAACCGGAGGACCCGGAGAAAATCCACAAGGCTGGAGAGGCGACCCTACCTCTTGTCACGTACAACCGGGGAATCTGTTTTAAGCAGAGGGGCCGCGAAACGCTGATCTGCCATATAATGAAACAGGTTAACTTCTTTTGAAACAGGAAACGCTATAGAAAAACGTAGGGCCTACCAGGATAAACATAAATTTAGTCAAGATATCAACAGGATACAGGACCGTTGCCGCGTAGAGAGGGGGTGAGATACCCCCCCCCCCCAAACAGAGGTGCGTGTCCCTCCGAAAAACACCATGATTTACGAATAAAACTGAGTCATTATTCAAATATTTGCCAGAAATCACGATTGACAACGCGAACCCCCTACACATGCGCGCCCCTCAGACCTGCACCCTCACCCCTCTCCTCTCCTACCACTTAAAATACTCCTTGCAACGGGCCTGGAGCAGACTTTCACACATAGGCCTATAACAACTTACAGAATAATTTATGTCGAACCGAACCGAAGAAGTCACCCAAACTTTTGGTTCCTTTAAGAATGGTCTCGGACGCTGTCCTCAGACAATGACAATGTAGGCTACTGCAGCCTTAAAATCATAATTAGATTATTAGACTAATTCATTTATTAATAGGGGTGCGTCGAATTACCCAATAGGCCTACTACGAACAAAGAGATTCCGCTCGGTGTCATTGAGTCATCTAGCACTGGTTTTGATTCCCCGGTTGTAGGCCTACATGACAAGGAGTGGGGTCGCCTGTTCAACCTCGTACGTGGGTTTTCTCCGGGTCCTGAGATCCGGTTTACTCCCACTGCTAAAGACTCCCACGCGCAAACGAATTATTGAAATAAAATTGAACCACATGTTAGTCCCGAAAGGACATAGTTACACCCCACACTCTCTGCGCATGATCTCTCCAAGTCTCAGTGATTCTCAGCCAGTGTGCCGCGAGATCTTCTTAAGTGTGCCGCGGAATTTTGAACGGCACACTAAAAAAATGCGAAAAAAACACATGATCCCCCCCCCCCCCCCGTGAAAACATTGTCGACCATAAAAACAATTATAAGATATACATTGTCCGTCAATTTTACAGCACCCCTAAGAACACTTCCCGCCCCCCTCATTGCTCTGAGCTAGACACGGCCCTGCTATTCACTGGTGTCTACTGATCCGATACTGATAGTGATACGGTAGCCTTAGTCAAGTTCATAGCTGTGTTCTTCTTTATTTATTTAATTCAGAATATGTGTATATGACTAGTCTCTGTCTACGGTTGTATGCCGTCTGACTTGCCATGTTTTTATTTTGCAAATTCAGATATTTTGCATATGTATTTAGCTAGGTGTACCGCTATATATATGTTTCCATGTGTTCCAAAGGGTGTGGGTGGTTGGATGGCTGAATGGTTAGCGTGCGCGCTGTATCATACAGTCTGTCATTGAGTCGACTGGCGTGGTTTCGAATCCCCGGTGACAAGGACTGTAGGGTCACCTGTCCAACCTCGTGGGTTTTCTCCGGGTCCTCCGGTTTCATCCCACTGCTAAAGACCCCTATGCGCAAGCGAATTATTGAAATAAAATTAAACCATGTTTTAGTCCCGAAATGACCTAGTTTGTGTCGATTGCACGTTAAACCCTGTTTCTCTCTCTCTTTCTCCAAAGGGTGTGCCGTTCGTTGGCAAAAATAGACGTCATTGGTCTCGATACATTCTAGAAATGGATTATTCAGACTTAATAATCTAGTCCAACAACTGTAGTGATCTCCCCTTGTTGTAAAAGTGGAAAATGAAAGTTTTGTTTACTAAAAGTGAATTTATTATCTAGTTATCAAAAATTGTTAAAATGACTTTGCATGTAGCAACAGTTAAATATAGTAGCAACAAACATTGCTTTCTAACAGTTGAACAGAAACAGTCTACAATAAGAAGTGTTGAAAACACACATAACTCAAATCAAGTTTGTTCCTTTTATATTTTAATAGCAATAGCCATGGCCCATAGGCTCAATAACATTCTTGCAATCATTGTCTATTATTATGGAGTGGGTGGGTGTAAAATTTCAAATTCGAAACACAAATTCCAAACAGGCTAATAAGCCTATATATAATAGTTTCAAAACAGCGTGGTTATCAGTTGAAAAATATTTGCCAGGATTTTGAAACAATAGACAAAATGACAAGGAACATGTTCATTGTGAAATGATCTTTATTCAATATTTGATACATGACAGTGTGTAACCTATTTATATGTACTATGCAGGCTAGAAATAAAACTTTGGCAGTCTTTCTTCCTAGGAGATTATAACTTTTTAAAGGAAGCAGAAGGGTTTATAAAATGTCATACGGACCTGTGAATGTTAGACAAAGTGAAATTCAGTAGAGGACACACTATTTCGAATGATTAATTCCATGAGTTTGACTAGGCTACTGTAGTATACCGTACTAGTAAGATTTATTTCTTTGTTTAATAAAGAAATATTTTTTTAAAATTTCAGATACCTGTGTATAGATGTGAATATGATGATGGTCGAATAGCATATTTTAGTTTAGTCGGCCATAGTCCTTTGTTGATAACACAAGATTTGATTTATCTCAATGGTCTGTTTGCTCAAAAACTGGAAATAAAAGATAGTGAAGAGGTACAATATATTCTAGAATCTATAGTGAATAATATAAATTTGGAGTGATATTAGAATCTGTCCACCAATTTTTTTCTGTCCACCAATATTTTTCATCACTGTACGGCTAGTATGATTAATGGACAGATTTCAAAGACTAACCATAAACTTAATAGAAGTTCTATTTTATCATTCTTTATAAACATGATTCCCACTGACATCTGTTGGATGAACTATCAGTAGTTTGAATAATACTCCTTGTTCTTATAAAGTTAGGTTTGTTTGAAATGAAACTCTCGACAACCATGCACTCCTATTAGCACCAGTTAGCATCAATTGGAACTTATTTAATCTCTATGTACGTAACCTTCATGTCTGAAACGTTGATCTACTGTTTTAACAATAGTATTGTTGCATTGAATGAAATTGTTTTTTTGAAAGATTGGATAAAAGTAAAATTCACATGTCTTCTTTAAATGTGTAGCCTACATTTAACAGAACAATCTTTTATTATGGATACCACAGGCCATTTTGATTGTGTACTGTGATATATTAGAAGCCAGTTCTCATCTGAAATGTTTGATTTCAATGAAAACATCAAATCTACTAATTACAAGAAATGTGTTTATCAAAAAACAAAATATGAAAGATGATGATTTATTTTGATTTATTGGACTCCACTACAGTAGAATTGCCCTATTTCAGGTTATACTACAATTAGTCAATCCTGTAATAACAGCTAACAGACTAGAGGTTGAACCACTTAGTACTGATGACTGGGAAATAGTTGTAAGTATTGTCAAAAAATTAAGTAGTACATGGTTATGTTACAGCGTGAAGTACAGTTATGTGACAGATCTAAGAAATAATACGCAAAATGTGTACAAATTCACTTATTGATGTAACCTTCCAATTTGAACCATAAAAGAGTAAAAAAAGACTTTGAGACAAAGGGATACTGTCGGATCTGTTTGAAATTTATATACACTTTTAAATTAGTGAAACAAAGAACCTCTTAAATATCAACTTCTGTTTATTACTTCTAGAGTTATGGCCCTTGTTTCACTTTGTTATTATCGTAACTATATGAAATTGATATTAGTGTGTTATAGTGTGTTATAGATATGTGACAACCCTTGTCGACTGCTCAGATGATTTGTCTGCTGTGGGAGTATATTGATACTAAATCAATCAACACAATACTTTTGTCCAGATCTTGATGGTAAAACCAACCACAGCACAAAAGTGAGAGCGTAAAAGGAATGAAAATAAAACGAAAGAAAGTGTTAATAATACGTAGGGACATTCTACAGTCTTCACACAGTCTATAAAGTTTGTATTGAGTTTATATGCGAAGTCCCAGATCAGTTGATCAGTTATACTGCAAATATTAGGCAACAAGTACAGATGTTCCTTATAGAATTTATTATGTGATAAGCTTATATATAATTATTTTCCTAGGAACAACATGCTGAGTTTGTAGAGAATCATCTATTAGATCAAGTCCGAGCAGTCTGGGTTGGACAGGTTTTACCAATCTGGGTTGCTAAATCAATTTGTATATTTCTACAAGTTCGTAAGTACATTTTGAAAATCATTTACAAGCTCACAGTAAATCATAGTTCTCATGGTACTTGATAATAAATGGCTTTTTGTTGAGTGGGTTCCTACTCTCTCTATTCTCCATTTCCATCCCTTTTGAAGATCATGTTTTTTCATAGGGAAATGTAATCTTTACGAGATGGGACTTACAGATATATATATGATGAAATTTTATTTTATCTTCATAGAAAAAATTGATCCAGAAGAGGAATATGCTGTTCTGACTAATGATACAGAAGTTTTAGTGGCTCCAAAATTACTTCCAAATGGAGCTAAAAAAGTTTCAAGTAAACCCCAAATGACTCGAAGACACAGTGATCCAGACATTAATCCGAACAATTTGTCTGTTGAAAATGCGTCTAAAGTTTCGTCTGATCGCATATCAAAGTCTAAATCACCTGTTGGTAAACGGAAATCACGCCATTTAAAGAATGAAAGACGGCATAAATCAGACGTCACTGATATTGAAGCTGATAGACAAAGACCTAATTTAAGACGTCAATCCTCGTTGATGGGGAGAATGATGGGATGGGTTGGTTTAAGTAAATGGCTTTCAGCGTATATAAGTGGTGATAATAATTCAATTTCTAGTTTCAATTCTGAAAATTTTGTTATAAAGGAAAATCATTTAGTATTTCGGGTTCAAGCCTTAAAATTTACTTGTAATCCAGAAGAATTACCAATATACAATTTAACAGATCCGTTTTCTAGGTTTATGTTGCCCCAAACAAGAAGTCTTGATAACTATGATAGTGTTAAAAAGTCATGTTATGAGGATGAAGAGTTACCCCCCTTAGAGCTATTCCAACCATCAATTGTTTTTGTTAACCATCGAGATGTTGTTAGAATTCTAGATGGGGGATCGAAAAAGAGTTTGCCGAATGTGTTCTATGCTGAGCTTCGTAAACTGAAAGCTCCAAAAGAAGTTGAAGAGGAAAAAAAACCTAAAACGTCGACGCCCACCAGTCCTCCTGTGACAGAAGAAAACAATAGAAAGCTATCTCCTAAAAAGAAAGAGTCGAATGAAGAAGCGAGTGAACTGTGTTGTATTGTTAGAGTGGTAACAATTGATAAAACAACAGATTTATCTGATGAGAACTGGCAGAACTGTGCTGAACGAATATTACAGGAACAATATTTGTTAAGCGGCCATGCTCTTGTCCCGGACATATTGCGTCGCCAAATGAAATTAGATGTAACCGGTAGACTGTGGTTACAAACTGTTCAGAAGCCACCAATCACGACATGCAGTGTTTTGCAACTGTACCCTCTTTCTACAATAGTAAGTTTTAACAATGAGACTTTATCAATATAATAGAATTGGAAATAATTGAATTGGTATTTGGCAGTAGAATCAGATTTGATATATTTGCCCTGAAGTCAGCCATATGTTGTCATCAACCTTGTTGTTCTATTAAATATTAACTGTAAAATGTTGTGTGAAAAAAATGCTTATTTATCTTGTCAGCCTTGAGGTAAGAGTATTTAACTGAAATTAGTGAAATCTGCAAGACGAAACCTGCATGATAACATGTGCTACTGTGCTGCTTTGAGTAGCAGACCAGAGTATTGTCATATGGCAAGTTTATATTGCTGACTGTGTTGTATTTGGTTTCAGTTATGGATAGATACACAAAATATGCCACTTTTCTGCTCCGATTGGATTAATGAAGACTGGCATACGCCATACAGTGTGCTATATGGGAAATTTTTCCTGGACAACTGCTCTATGGCCTACTCTTATATCAAATTTGAACTGCCATGTGTTCTTTTATGTGCACTATCATTGTTACGGGTTTTATCATTCAGTGTAATATTCTCTTTATGTACTGTGTGTCGGCAAGTGTTCTAATGCATAAGCTTTAGATAATAAAGTCTGACATTGATTGATGTAGTCCCTGGTTCTCTGTACACATTGGCGTGCATGTTAAGGTCCCTTGACAGTTGGAATTCGATATAAGAGTAGGCCATAGTGCCTCTGTCCGGGAAAAATTTCCCTCATAGCACAGTGTACGGTGTAAACCCGTCTTCATTAGCCCAGTTCGGAGCCGAACAGTAGGACGTTGCCGTTAAACCCCATTTCATTTCATTTCGGACATCATTTTTTTTTATATCCAGATATCAAATGTTCTTTCTTTATATGTTTCAGCCAAGACGTGTATATGATTCGTTTATTATTAAAGCTTTTATGAAATATATAGAAACTGTTGCCAATGATGAACACCCAATGATAGTATTTCAAGGAATTCTAGTAAAATTTATGGTTTTTTCAGGTAATTACATGTTTATTGTCCTATTTTATGTTAGTTAAGAGTATTAATAATTATGTTTTGAATTTAAGTTCAATGAAACACTTTATGATACTAACTAAGCTGTACCAATTATTCCATGAGGGATTTATTCACCTACCATCCTATATTTGTTAATTGTGCTCTTATAATATTTCATGAATAAAAAATAATTTGCAATCATTGACTTCTTCACCCTTTTTATAGAATCTGATTACATGTATGTTTTATGTCACCCTTGGGATTAAGTAGAAAGAAAAATTCAAAAGATAGGATTTTTTATAGAAATCTTTGTTTTAAATAATGCTAATTTCACAATTTATTTCAACCCTCATTGTGTAGTCAACCATTGCATTCATTTTAACCCGTTAAGCGTGACGTTTTTAAAACGTTAACTACCCCCTATTGTGTAATTAATTTGACGAAGTGACGAAGAACTATGTACTAAGTTCTAAGTATAGGTTGGGGAAAATACCTCCAAGGCGTTATATTACGCCCTACACGCAGTGAGTGGCAGCTGTCCAGGACCTAATATAACGTCCTACACATGCTGCGATCGTGGGGGAATTCCCAAGGGATTCCCTCAACTGACGAACTATGTTCTAAGAATAGGTTGGGGAAAATACCTCCAAGGCATTATATTACGCCCTACACACAGTGAGTGGCAGTTGTCCAGGACGTTATATAACGACCTACGCACTTAATACATCAGCAAATTATTTAAACATTTTCTTGGTAATTAACGTCTTTCAAATTACTCCCCGCACCCCCACCCCTGCCCCACCCCAACTACTCCTCTTCCTTTCTGGTAAAGTACACAAAAAGGTTGAGCCGTGTGCTGACAAAGTGTTAAAATATCTGTGTAATATGGTTTAATATGGGTTTATAATTTAGGTTTACACGTAGAAGCTCAGTTGATATTCAATGAGGAACCTGGCAGTGATGATCGACAGAAGTATATATTATTAAGCACTAGTGTCCTCAGACAATTGACAATAACTGTTGAGAAGAATGTGAAAGATGACAGTGTGTCTCTCATACATCCTATGTTGCCATATCGACATGTCAGTGATTTTGATCCAATTGCTCCAACAATACAGTTGAACAATCTAGGGTAGGTGTTTATTTCAAATACTTTAATTTAATTTAGTCCACTAATCAGGAGGTCCTGCCGGGTTCAATACTGATCTTGGCCGAGAAATGTCAACAGGATTTGCAGTTTGGTTTTCTCTTGTCAATGGTGCTGGGTTGAATGCTTGGCACGAAACAGCATCTAGTCATCGGATGGCACTTTAAACTGAGGTCCCATGTATTTCATATCCAATAAAGACTAGTGTATGTTTCATTCATTACTGTCAATCATACATGATGTATGCTTCATGTATTACTGTTAATTATGTTCCAGTAGTGCTTTTTCATAAATTACCATAATTTTAGTAAATGATAGTAATTTTACGTGTTGAGCTAGTTATTGTCCATTCATGTTTCAGAAAAAAATGAAATTTTGTTTTGGTTTTATTCAAATTATTGCTGCCATCATAGGTTTGATTAGAATCCCCCCCAGATTAATTTCTTTTTTTATTTCTTTTAAAAATATGGCCCGACATTGCTTAACTTTAGTGATCAGACGACAATCTGTGTTCTCATCCTAGTATTGATTTTCTCTATTTGAACAATTTTTCAAATTGCCAGGCCAATTATTATGTTAAATATGGTAATTATTAGTACTGGCATAATATATCGTTGATTCGCGTATTGAATTGCAAGACGCTGAATTGATGCATCACGATTCTTTTTTAAGTTTTTTGTTGCCTCAGTAAGTAACCTGTCACTCTTAATTATCCACGTCACACATTATCCATAGGTAGGCCTACACAAACACTCTTAAATTGTTTTGGTCCATGTTTTCATCCACATCAATATGATGTTATAAAACAGTTTTATTTCTTCAAGATCAGCAGGAGTAAAAATATCAATTTTCTTGATATATATTGACCTGGTTGTGAATCGTATGAATCGTATCGTAGCACCCAAATCGCAATACGTATTGTATCATGACTGCAGTGGCAATACGTAGCCCTAGAAATTATATTTATATACCATGTTTCATTACTTATGTATTATATATTTTCAGTGCTGTTCAGAAAGCATCAGCTACTGCTATTCATCATTTAGAAACATGTCTACTTACTAAACCACTTTCTGAAGATCTCTTCTCATCATGTCTGGGATTAAACCATGGTATTCTCTTAATATCAGGACCTAAAGGTAGTGGTAAAACATCTTTAGCTAAGGCTATCTGTCGTAGAATGGCCGAAGTTCCTAATATGGTTTTTACTATGGAAGTAGACTGTAAACCATTACGAGGTAGGATACGTTAATAGTATTGAAGCTAAATTGTCAGATTATTAGAGATGGAACTAGTAATAATTTTATAATAATGATTTTTACCCTTCTCCACATTTCTTTTATCAAAATCTTTGATAAAAAGGGACCACAGTGGCTTGGGCTTGGTGAGCATCTTGCTGCCTCACTTACCAGGAAATCCTGGATTCTATGCTGGTGTTGACTAAGAAGGGCCTCGCATGGAAAGGTGTCTAATCCTGCATAATATGATATGGAAAACTGAGTTTGCTGTCTATACCACGGTTGGGAATTGAAATACAAGTAGGCTGCAGTGATGTTGCCCTGGGAAAATTTCCCTCATAGTGTACTGCATGGCCTGTTCTTGTCTTCATTAGTCTGGGTGGTAGAGAAAAGGAAGATGTTAAACCCCATTTCATTTATTATCATATTATGTGAAATTAAGTACATTTACTGTCCCTTGAAAACGATTTCAACAAACAGAATTGGAACTTGGAGAATATCTCACATTGATTGGAATTATTCTGTCAGTTTTTATATATTATAGGTAAAAGAGTAGATAATATTCAGAAGATATTAGAGTTAATATTTGATGAAGCTGCATGGAGACAACCATCAATAATATTATTTGAAGACTTGCATATTATAGCTGGTGCTGCTACCAGTCCTGATGCTGAAATGACTGGTGAAGCTTTATATGCTGCTAGAGTGGCTGAAGGTATCACTAACACATCTTCAAAGAATTAGATATAGGTGTATTTTCAAAAAGATTAAAAAGTTATCCGTCAGTAAAAAATGAAGTTTATTTAAATAAACTTTATTTAAAGGAATATAAAGAATTAATGCAACAAATTTTATTTAAATCATAAAAAATGATTTCAAAAATTTATTTCTGAACAAGAATATTGTTTAGAACAAAAATTTATTAAAATATGTTGTTTATTATTTCAGTAATTACAAGTATTATTAAATACCAGGTTAAAAACAACATTAGAGTAGCCATTATAGCAACTAGCCTATTACAGAGCTCCTTACATCCAATGTTAGTTACTTCTAGAGGTATTCATTTTATACAGGAGGTTATTTGTATACAACCTCCTAATAAGGTAAATTACTTAAAAAGAAATGTCATGCCATATGTGTATAAACCAGTGACTATTTTCCATAGAGATTGTGTTGTGTTTTTTTACAGTGCTATTTTAATAAAGCCGCACCAATTTCAGCTTTTGTTGTTCAGTAACATCTATTAAAAAAATTTCTTCTTGTTTCTTAAAGATGCATTAGTTAAGAGTTTAATAAAGAGTTGGTCATTCTTGCTATAATAATTCAAAAATAGAATATAAAAAAAGAAAATAATGAAAAATGCATTCAAAGTACTTCATTCTCAGCCAAGTTATCATTGTTTGTAGTTTTGACAAGATGTGTGCATAGTGATGACCAGGGCACTGGTTTAATCGGGACTTAGCCTCGCTTTCCCATTTTTAAATTAAATTTTTGTTGTTGTTAGTTAGTTGTATTTTACGTCTGCTTAAATTTTTAAATGGCGAACCGTTTTAATCTAGATAAAATCTTGAGTATCTGATGCCATCAAGATTCGATTATGGTCTTGTTCTGTTAATGAATGTCTAATTAATAGTTTATATAACATTTCAGGCCTAAAGAAAGACCTGCAATAGGCAGATTTAGCTCTTCCATAGTGTATGTTTAAGGAAGTAACCAAAAAGTACTTGTTTGCTCATCTCTAAAGCTTTTGCTTCCAAGAGTTTATATTTTGAAATAAACAACTCATCATTCATGAATTCAAGTAGCTATTTATATATCAAAACCCTGAGGAACTAAACATGATATTGATATTGCTCAAGACAGAGATTAGTGGCATGCTGTCATTCTAATTTAATTTGTCTGTTTTAGCAATCAATTCTTACAATGTTGTTGATATTATCTTTACAGAAAGAAAGAAAAGAGTTATTAACCAAGATGTTTGAAAACCGAGAGAATTTATCTAAAGATAATATAAAAGAGATTGATATGGAGTATATTGTTAATAAAACAGAAGGATTTGTAGCTAGAGATTTAGAGAATGTTATAGATAGAGCAATACATGCTAAATATCTAGTTGATTGGAAAGGTATGTTCAATATAGCATCCAATATGATTGTATAGTGTTTATTTAAAGGAGCTAAATCGCTAATATTTGGGACCTAGAAATTGACACAAATGGGTTGCAATGCACATAATAAATGAAATATGAATGTATATAAACTGATTTACATTCAATCGTTTCTGTTTTTACTGTAATTTCTAATCAGTTATGTTCGGCGAAATGCGCCAAAGTCTCAATTAAATGACAATCTTTAGCGTCTGGTTATTCCAGTCTACACCGATGGTATTTATTGCGCATGCTCCCCAGATAAGAATATAGCGTCACCATATGTCTAGCTTCGTTCTTTGAGTCCCTTGTTCCAAATGGCGCTGAAACGCATAAAATGTTTTTTTTGTCTTGAATATTGGATATCAGAAGCCCATCTTTTCCCTGTAAGATCACAAGACCAATGTTGATTTGAATTGACAAATAATTTGTGTTTTCAATGTCGAAGATTTTTGATGATATTGAGTTAGAGACTTAGCTACTTTAAATTAAGTCATTTGAGAAGCAAGATGCAACACATGCGCATTACCTCACTAGCGATAAGCAGCCATTCACTATCTGTCAGCATTCTTCTCACGATTGTTAGGACTCCTTTTGTGGAGGCATATAATTCTAAAGATCACAAAATAGTTGCCTGTCCATCTTTTATAATTCTTTTTGTAAGTTAATAGTAATTATATAAGAATTGATATTTGTAGCTTGTAGTGAGGGTGAAATGAAACTATCCGATGAAGAATTTACAACGGCATTAGAAGGTTTTAAACCTGCTAGTTTTCGCAATGTATCACTCCATGTACATGAACATCGTAGCTGGAGAGATGTTGGTGGAATGCAAGAAGTTAAAGACATTCTAATAGAAACATTACAATGGCCGACAAAGGTGGGATTATTTTACTTTTTTATACGCCCACATTTTATTATCTGATTCAAAAAAACATTTGAATTTATCACCATCACACCGTGATGTTGGTTGAGTTATAATTTCGTGAAAAACGACCCAAAATTGCTGGACAAAATGGCTGCCCCTTGTACAAAAATAGTGTAAAAATATGGTATATCAAGGTTGTATTCAATTTTAAAAAACGTTTAATTCACCGTTACACATCAATGAAGGTTGAATTCAAATTTCGGGAAAATCAAAATGAAACTGCCCGACAAAATGGCCGATCTTTGCACCCAAATTGTGTAAAAATATGTAATACAAAGGTTGTGGACCCCCTAGAGATTACAATTTTTATCAAATTTTGATAAAACTTAAAATATATCTTTATATCCCAAAGATTTGCGCATTACAGACCATAACTTTCTGGATTATAGCCCCTTATTGTACGACAAATGACTGTTGTTTATAGCTTGCTTGTTCTCTATCCATCTCTTGCAAAATGTGGGTGTATCTTGCCTGGCAACCGCTGGTTTATATATCAATCACTTTCAACTTCACTTGTTCTATTTGTTTAGGCCACACATATTTGAGTTTTTGTTCTTTCGGAATGCCTATTAAAAACTTTGTCTCCTATTTCTTTGGGGAAAAAACTGATTTAAAAACAAAAATTATTTAGTGCACCAAAATTTAATTGACTTTTTGTTGATCAAGACCGAGAAGAACTAAAATCAAATTGATTTGACCTTATTTTTTTTTAAATGTATATTCTTGGGACTCTTATGTATAAGCTTGTTCTTTCTAGAATTTTGATGCAACTTTTATTTGAGGAGTTCACATAACTACAAATAAACATAATTATTTTTCAGTATCCCGCTTTGTTTGCCAATTGTCCTCTACGATTGAGATCAGGTTTATTATTATATGGAGCACCTGGTACAGGTAAAACTCTTATCGCAGGTGTTGTAGCTAAAGAATGTGGTCTTAATTTTATCAGTATCAAGGTAAATCATTATCTTTAACTCTTAGAACCCGAAATGCTTTAAAACAAACTTTGCGGCTTGTAAGTGTGTCTTCTGACACGCTTCCTTAACAATAACAAGATAGCCAATCAAAATGCTGTTTATGGTTTGCTCAGAGTCTTTTGTGACTTCCTTCCACTTGTTTACATTTCAATTTGGGCAAATTTTGCGATGAATTAAGTGTTCTGAACAACAAAATACAACGGATGCGCTAGCTCTTATCACGAGTAATAATGACTAAGATGTTGATGGGTTGAATTACGACAATGAAAGTGATTTTAAAAGTGAATGTGACCCAGATTTGTAATCAAGTTGTAAAGGATATTGATCTACATGGTCGGTGATACAAATATTGGAATAAGGCGTGGTCCTGATATTAGCAGAGTTCAAACCTGTTGGCATGATTGGCACTCCAAGGTATGTATTGGAGATGAAATTGAATAAAAGTTAAAATTCCAGGTTAAATATCCTTGTTTCATCTTTTCACATAATTATAAACACATATAATATTAAATTCACACCTAACATTTAGTTCCAATTAAAATGACATCATTGTTGTAAAATCTTGTTGTATTCTCAAGAAGGGTATGTGGCACCCAAAACATTTTCAAGGTTCAAAGGGTTAATATGTTTATTATTACCTTCAATTTGTTTGGAGTACGCTGAAAGTTCTCTGTTGCCTTTAAGAAATAAAGCCATTAAAGTTTAGCAACAAGGTGGTTGTAATCTTGGGAAAATAAAAAATATTATTACAGTATCCTTGTGATTTGGTTTTCTGTCGGTGCACCCAAACACATCCCCCCCAAAAAATAATTCCAAAATGGTATAAAAAAAACCCAAAACTTAGCAGACTTTGTATTTGTGATTGACTTATTCATAAAAAGCTTCCAGTCTCAATTTATATCTGTATAATTTTGAATATAACTTTTCTTTAGAGATTTCTATCACATTTATACATCCACATTTAATGTGGCCGTATCATGTCATCACCTGCACCTGTTTGTCCATTGCACTACACGTAGGCTACAACTAATTTTCTTTTCAGCTTTTTTCAAATTAGCAGGTATTATTTATGTGTTTATAATCGAGATTCCTATCAAAAATCAAACTTTCTGGATATAATTGTTATAGGGGCCTGAAGTATTAAGTAAATATATTGGTGCCAGTGAACAAGCTGTTAGAGATTTATTTGTCAGGTAAGTATTTATATATTTATTAAAGATATTAGATTATTATATTTTGCTTTTAATGTAGATACGTGTTTACAAGTTGATGAAAGATAATCAAGTGTCGTATATATTTATCACCAGAGTCTCACTGAAAAACGTTGTCAGCTCGTCAATATATCATGTTATTTTGTTCATCCTAGATTGGCAAGACACTCTTGACAAGAATAGGACAATTTAATCAATTTTTAAAATAAAAACTGTACGGTAACCATTTGCTGCTTTTTAATGTTAAATTCTTTGAAACACCTAATATTATAACATATAAATAGACTGACAGGTAAATTCTCCACTAAATCGAATGCCATGTTTATCAGCTAATAATATACCTTCTATTAATTTCTTTAGGTGAAATTTCATTTTTGGTATAGAGTTATATATATCTTGTATTTCATTGATACTATTTTTTTATATCTAGGGCTCAAAGTGCTAAACCTTGTATTTTATTCTTTGATGAATTTGACTCAATGGCTCCAAGGTAAATATGTCTTAAGCTTTCTTATTTCAATGCTTTGAATACATGCGACCTTATTTCTGTCTGTGATGTTGCATTCCACACATGGTTCTCTGAGTATGATCTTTACTTGCTAACATCAAGACATAGGATGTCCAGACAACTGTTGGTACCACAAGGTAGTGCCAACTATATATATCAATAGTCGGTTCTCATCCAGACATCGTATGTCTTGGTCCCAGAAACCAAAGGCACTAAAATTTCTGAACTTGACAGTCAAAGATATAAATATGACCACTTTAACAGTATAATTCATTTGGTGAAAAAATAACCCAAACTACGGTACTAACTTGTATTTTTATATCTAGCTACTTCTCACAAAAGAAGAGAACTAGGTCATTTCGGGACTAACCTGGTTCGATTTTATTTCAATAATTTGCTTGCATGTAGGGTTCTTTAGCAGTGGGAGGAAACGGTAGGACCCAGAGAAAACAAACGAAGTTGGATAGGCTACCATACTCCTTATCACGTACAAGCAGGGAATCAAAACCGTGCCACTTGACTTAACTGAAGATTTTAATATGTATTTTATTTATAGGAGGGGTCATGATAACACAGGGGTTACAGATCGTGTTGTTAATCAGTTATTAACACAGTTAGATGGTGTAGAAGGTTTAGATGGTAACTATTTATATAATTGAATTTCTGCCAATTTTTACCTGAATTTAAATACTTATCTTTGTTTATTCCTTGACATTAATTATCTCAAACTTATTCAAAATCTTTTTCAATAAATGTAAGCTTATTCTTGGTTAAGTTGAATACCGAGGAGTCACTTGTCTGAAAATCTGACTCTGAATTATAGTATAATTCTTGAATTATAGTATAATTCTTGAATTATAGTATAATTCTTGAATTATAGTATAATTCTTGAATTATAGTATAATTCTTATAGAATATTGAATTATAGAATAATTCTTGAATTATAGAATAATTCTTGAATTATAGAATAATTCTTGAATTAAAGAATAATTCTTGAATTATAGAATAATTCTTGAATTATAGAATAATTCCTGAATTATAGAATAATTCCTGAATTATAGAATAATTCCTGAATTATAGAATAATTCTTGAATTATAGAATAATTCTTGAATTATAGAATAATTCTTGAATACAATAAACCTCGCATAAGTCGGATTCGTATAAGTCAGATCTTCGCTCAACTCGGATAAAATCGTTTGGACCCTTTGATCCTGCACGTTTTTCTTATTAAATTTCTGCGCTTAAGTCAGATTTCCTAAGTCGGATTTTCACACAACTCGGATCAAAATGTTCGGTCCATGCTTTTAAAAAATACGTTCCCTCACATAACTCGGATCAAAATGTTCGGTCCATTTGATCGGATCAGCAGCATGTTCACAACATGCTGTTAGAAAATACGTTGAATTATAGAATAATCCCGGCCTATAAGGTTTTTGTCACTTTGTTTACAGGTGTGTATGTATTAGCTGCTACCAGTAGACCAGATTTAATAGATGGTGCTTTATTACGACCTGGTAGAATAGATAAATGTCTACATTGTGGTTTACCCACAAAGGTCAGTCATAAACAATCTTACAGAGGCTGCATGTCAGAATAGAAATTAAATGAAACAGGGTTTAATGTCCTACTGTTCTGCTCTGACTGGGCTAATGAAGACAGTCAGAATAGAAGTCAAAGATCAAACTCAATCACTAGTGCAATCTTTTGAGTTCTTGGATTAGGGCACATTTTATTTATTTCTACGAAAACATTTATTGACCAACTGGTGTGTTTTCCTACTAAATGGAAGATTTGCAGACTCTAATTCAAATAGCATTGCTATTTTAAAGTGCAATGCACCAGAAAGCCAATTTAAATTTCCAATTTTTATACGCCCACATTTTCATGTAAACGTATTATGCTGACACCCACGTCCGTCCGTCCACAATTTGTTTGTGGACACTCTACAGGTCACAATTTTTATCCAATATTGACGAAACTTGAAATGATTATAGGTCTATCTCCTGATATATTGGCATGTATCGGACCATAACTTCATGGATTATGGCCCCTGTTTCTACGAAAAATCACGTTTTTAGCTAGTGGTTCCTAAAGGTCACAAAATCGTGTTTTTTGCTTTTGGGCCCTCTATAGATCACACTTTTTATCTGATTTGAAAATCCGTTTGACTATATCACTGTTACACCCTAATGATGGTTGAGTATGAATTTCGTGAAAATCGGACCAAAACTGCCGGACAAAATGGCTGTCCCTTGTACGCAAATTGTGTAAATATGGTATATCAAGGTTGTGGACCCTTAGAGGCCACAATTTTGATCCAATTTTGATGAAACTTTAAATTTTTGTTTATATCACAAACATCTTCGTTCCTTTCGATAATCGTGCATATTCGAACATAACTTCCTGCTAGAAGAAGTCACAATTTGTATTCAATTTTAAAAAAATGTTTATATATATATCACCGTTGAGTTCGAAGTTTGTAAAAATCTGACCCAAACTGCCAGACAAAATGGACGCTCCTTGTACGCAAATAGTGTAAAAGTGTGTAATACCAAGGTTTTGGACACTCTAAAAGTCGCAATTTTTAGGCTATCTAATGTTGATGAAACTTGAAATGTATAATTATAATCCAAATATGTTGGCTCTTTTCCATATTTGCGCATATCAGACCGTAACTTCCTGGATTGTGGCCCCTGATTGCAGGAAAAATCACGTCTTTAGCTTGTGGACACTCTAGAAGTCACAATTTTTATCCAATTTTGATGAAACTTCAAATATGTCTTTATATCCCAAATATCTTCTTCCCCCTTGATATTCGCACATTTCCGAACATAAGTTCCTGGATTATGGCCCCTGATTGTACGAAAAATAGCTTTTTTTTTTTAGCTTGTTCTCTATCCAGCTCTTGCAAAATGTAATTTGTATGATTTTAAAATTTAAAAAAAGCCTAGACCAGGTACCATCTTGATCTTGATGTTCATGGAAAGAAATGAGTTACAAAATTTATGATTGATTGACTTAAAGAATTTTTCGACCAAAATGCTTTTTGGTTTAGACTACTTTTTTTTTTATGTGTACCTAGTACTTCGAAAATCTGTATTTGCCTTTTAGTCTGGAATATTGTGCCTTTAGCATTTTTTACAAGTTTAGAAGAGCTTTTGAGAAATGTTAATGGGTGTTACTTGTACATTTACATATGAATTAATTTGTATTAGTAAATTTTTAGGAAGAAAGAATAGAGATATTGGAAGCCTTGACAGATAAAATGTGTTTAAATCAAGACGTTGATTTCGACATCATCGCCGAAAAATGTGAACATTTTACTGGTGCTGATCTGAAAGCTGTCTTGTATAATGCTCAGTTAGAGGCCATTCATGCGTCCACAGGTTTTGCTCTGCAAGACTCTTTTAATGACCGAGTTAAGAAGAAAGATAAACATTCAAAGAATGTATTTATGACAGATGAAATGAAGTCTGCTATTAAAGAAGGCAGATATGAAATACAGTCAGTTGAGAAAAGTGTAATGAGAAGAACTACTTCACAAGTGGAAGATATATCATCCAATAGACAGCCAGAGCGACCTATCAGTTTCCATGGTGACGAGGCTATACAGTTAGTGTGTACTCTATCTGACAAGAATCGGTTGGTAACAATGATACCACGATTAGATGAGGGACCAAAAGAATTATCTGGTGAAGAGGAGGAACATATTTTAAATCTGGTAGGTGAAACAATGCAAAATAGTATTTGGCAATACTGGAAATTTTGAATATCGTGAACAAATAGATCATGATTTTTCGCTAACAATATCTAACATATTAATGGGCACAGAACCCCTTATTTGGTGATACTCATAAGCCAATGCCACGATGGCAATATTTGTGCAAAAACAATCATTCGACTGTAAGTATCAAGGAAAAAGTAGCATTTCTTTCATCAGCTTGGTTTAACTAGTTTACAATAAATGATGTGTCTGCTAATAATCATCCAATAAATGTTATTATTGATCAAATTTGATTGTTCACCAAATGTAATGCATCAACCATTTTCTACAAAAATATTAGAAGGATTATAGAAAACAGAATGCAAACCTTTTAGGTGTCAGGTTCCAAGAGAACTATGATCTGATGAGAGTTTCAAAAGCAAACATGCAGATTCACAAAGCTCTTCTCAGATTACTGCAATACAAGCAAATAGTTTATCAAAAATTCAAGAAATAAAATGAAGGGCTGTGTTGCCTGGAGCTTTAAATGACATTATTGGTGTCAGTCAAGGAATTATTAGTGAGCAGAAACTTCAGTCAGTTATACAGAAGGATGACTCGTGTTTTCCTTTTGCGTTCATCACTTCCGTTTCTTGAAATCTTCATAACGCATCTATTTTAGCAATGATCTCTGTGTTAAAATTATATTTGGAATGTGTTGAGCCAGTTCTATCCCATATGTGATAATGACTGACACCAATATTGGCCTTTAATTTGTCGTAGGAGACATGTTTCAATTGGGCTTGCGGTGTTATTAAAAGGAGTTACTTCCCTTTAATTAGATATTCAAGCCAGATCTTTTATTTTTAGTATCCACACAAGAATAAATATGCTTGTATATATACAGTTAAATATCTTTATAGTTAACTTTTTGCAGGAAGGTTTTGCAGTTTTTTCAAAACTAATGTTCAATAAATGTTGAGGGAAAATATTTTTTGTTGCCCAAGCCGTCCATTGTCCATAATTGCAAGATTTAGCCAAATTTTGAATGGAATTGTATCCAAAATATATTATTACCACATTTTCAGCACTAGGAGCAAGTTGATCAACCCTATTATAACAAGTGATTTTGTTCAACACGAGCAGGTCCGAACTCTTGCAGGATCAGAAAAATTTTCTTTTAGAGGAATAACTTTCAGATTTCTTTTAAAATACTATTTCCTGTAATTTATTAATTTTTCCTGTTATATTTCGGCTTATTTATATAGACTGATATTCCAACACTGCAAATTAAATGTTTCATACACTAAACAGCAGTTAGAATAGTAATTATTTCTTTGTATTATTATTTTACCAAATTTTATAAATCTTTTGGTAATGGTCTAATATTAAAGCAAAAGCATATTTTTAAATTCACAAGGATTGTTCATCGAGGAACAAGGATAGATTTTATTAAAATTATTGGGATTATCTATCTTCTTACATGAAAGTCCTTGATGCACTTTTGGGCAAAATCTGGGATTTTTCTATGTAAGAACCCTATAAGGAAAGTTTGAAGCAAATTGTTGTGGGTGATATCAGATGTGGTTGATGGCTGATCTTGACACTCTTACTTTTTACAGCAGTGTTTATCCTGATAAATCTATGATAAACCAATCCAAGACTTTTGACACATCTGGAAGAACCTTATTGAAATTAATTATTTAGTTTACTTCTGGTTAACATTATAATTATCTTTAGATCTTTAAACACACATTATGCAAGAGCTAAATCTGTCTATTGCAGGTCTTTCTTTAGGTCTGAAATGTTATCTAAATTATTAATTAGACATTAATTAACCTATCCAGACCATAATCAACGCTCGATGGCATCGCTATCCTGCGATCTTTAGTGGATTATGAGCCGATTTACTGCATAACTTTCCTTCACGATTTAATGATTAAATGGATAATCGAGACTATGCTGTTTATCGTACTGACTTTAGTAATGATAATCTAGGATAGGCGGAAATTTCAATCGCTTAATTCTGGGTTCATAGTGGATCAATTTGAATGAAATTTTCAGCAAATTCCCTTTACATTATCCAGTTTTTAACTATTATAGTGAGAACTGCCAACTCGTTATCTAATCTCCCATAATGTATCTTTAATTTAGAAGCACATAAATGTGATGAAGGACAGAGTTCTTGTTAGGTTTTGGTTATGTATGTGCTTGCCCATTATCAGAATTTAGATGCTTGAATTAATTCCCTGTTTTCATTTGACTTTTAAGCTATAAGACTGAATATTTAATAACATTTTGGTTGAATTCTTGCTTTAGAATTCTTGCTGTGTGGCATATATGCACATGTGTCAAGCCCCTGTTTATACAGATCTAATGATGTCAATCCAATGAAATTGTTTATTGAAATAACAGAAATTAAATCCATAATATACATTATTTTAATGAAATGGGAAAGTTTATTGAAATGGTATTTTATTACTGGTAATACAATTTAAGAATAGAATCCTTTTTTTGTCGTCTGTCTTCCAAGTTTCTTCGTGTATTGTGGGCTAAAAAGTCAAAAGGGAAAAAAATATTAATATGATATAGAGTGTGGTTAATCAGTGAGACTGAAAGCCTTTTATGCTATCTCTTCTTTCACCACCATATTGGGTTCTGTTTAATCTTTTTATCTGTGGCTATTGAAGGCAGTGATGACATTCCATGGCTTCTTCGCTACTTTAATTCTCTACGTATTGATCCTGATTATGTCCATTGTTGCTATTTGTAAGACTTCTCCGTTCTAATTCTATCCTTTCCTTTTTATCTTTTCATCATCTAGAACCCTCATTTCATTAAATATCGCCTTCCATCCCAGTAGCACCAACCTCACGCCTGCCCTCGTCTAACAGAAATCATGACCTTAAACGGGATGACACTATGGTGATATTCATAGGATATTGATAATATCAGCTAACTCTTAATAACAGCCCATTGATTAGGGGAATTGAAGATTTTAGCATTGTGCCCACTTCTTTAGAATTTGTTAAGCACTATCTGACGTAGACATCGCGTAATTATAGCCCCATAAAGCTAATACTTTTATACAAGAATAAAATAATCCACTCCTTATCTCACCCGGAATTCATTTCTACCTCTTCACGTTGGAGAGTTCCTGTTATCTTGTCTTCAATAATGCAACCCCTTTATTAAATCTGTCCATATGTCTGTTATTCTCTGCGGAACTAGTCTATTCATTGCAGATTATTTCTGTTGCTAAGTACTCTTCTTATTATAAAGTAATACCGTTGAATCCTTTTTCTAATAAATCGTACCCCAAGGCAGGACTCTTTAGATGCTTTTCCCAATTGGATAAGAGATGCTTTCAGTGTTATAAGAAGAGGAAAACAAGTTAAGGAGGTTTTCCAATGTGAAATATTTCCCGCTAAACACCTGGTTTCGTAAATCGTTCTTCATGGATTCCGTCACTTATATCATTAAGACATCAGTTTTTATTGATAGAGGAATAATTCCAATTTACCCGTATTAAAAGAAGTTTAATTGCCCTAATTCTGGACAAGATCTAGGAAGAGGTTTGCCGATAAAATAAATTACAAAGTGAATGGGATATCTGGAGTATTTATTGATAGCAGGTTTTGCCTCAAGGATTTCTCCTAATAAAGCTCTTAAAACGGTTTATAGTGTCTTTTTCTCCCCTAAAATGGATTTTAGTTCTGGCATTGAATTTTTTAATGTAACCCATTTTCTGTCACAAACACTCCTTTTTTATGGTAAAATTCTTTTTAGAAATTCAATCTTTAAATGCTTCCATAGGCTTCCAGCTATTTGCTTCCTTAGAGTTGGAAGAAAAGTTATGGCTATATGATGCCTGTGCAGTTAAAGAGAGTCTTGGGTCTATGATTTTGTTGATATCGAGTGAGTAAGCCAATGCAAATGAAAAGCTAACAACAAAGTGGCACAAAGTCAATCAGACTTTAAAACGTTTTACATATCTGTGTATTATATGCTCATACTATTTGGTTCTCGTTTACAAATGTTTCTAAATGTATTTAGTGTCAATTCATATGTGGTTACAATCCTGAATCTGATCCAAAACAAACAAACAAAAAAACGTCAGTACTATTTCAAAATCAGAGAGGCACTTTAATCAAATCACTCTAGAAAACGACTTACTAAATGGATCAAAGCAATTTTTTGTGAACAGTATGTTGACACATTAGTGATTAATTCATCACAATTCCAAGACATTACGAGAAGGTTTAGAGTCTGTACATAGTCTTTATATCAGTATCTGGTGTGTCCACAGCGCAGGGTCTGTACATGGAGTGGACCAGACGATTGATGAACGCCACTGGAACCTGGAACCACACTCTCAGAAAATCATGGCGCAATCCATCGGCTCTATTTGGTCTCGGTACGACGTTATTAAGTCTCCTCGAATTTCATCCCAAAGATGTTCAATCGGGTTTAAGTCCGGACTAAGGGCTGGCCAGTGCATAACGTTGACACCGTTCTGCCGTAGAAAGTCTCGAGTAACTCGGGTGGTGTGGGCTGGAAAACGTTTCGATGACGTGCGAAATGTGGTATGCCGTAGGGTCTGAGAGCTTGATCCATGTAGCGCACTGCTGTGATGCCGCCTCCTCTCCCTAGACCAAGATTTTGGAACACCACAGGACCCACTCTCTGGTTCAGGCCGATTCAACCCCAAACCATTATGCTTGGACCTCCCCATGAGTCTCGTGCCATGACACATTGGTCAGAATAACCCTGGCCACGTCGACGCCAAATTCTGGTCCTGCCATCTGCAGTTGATACGCAATATCGACTCTCATCTGTGAATAGAACAGTTCTCCATTGCCTGTGTCGCCAGTTCTGGTGTTGTTAGGCAAACTGTAGATGTTCAGGTCGATGGTGAGGTCTACGGCAATGGATGTTCTCTCTGGTGTATCGGTACTGATGGGTCTTCCGCGTGTTCCGGCTGTCTGACGTGCTGTCTCAGATGCCCGTGTGAAGAGATTCTGCTCGTGCTGTCGCACAACATGGTGGTCTTGTCGCCTTGTGATAACCCTTGGTCTACGAGTTCTGGGGCATATTATCCGTGGTGTTGGTGGCCCGAAAGCATTGCTGAAACCTGTACATGTAGATGGTCTAAACATTGACCTGGAAGTGATTGGCAACGGCTTGGGCAATGTGGCCAGTCTTCCTAGCGCCTTTTTTCTCCGAGCTGTCGTGAGTCTTGGCATGCTGCTGGCGTTGTAGTGTGAATGATTTAACCAGGTATGTGGGTGCATTTTAGTTACATGAAAATTATGGAGAACACATTACCATCTCAGAAGTCCGGTTGTGTTTTTGAGAACATTTCCTAAAATTTAACTAAGATAAAAATCCAAATTTTAGTAATTTGATTGGATAATATTAGATTGATTTTAGTGCTTAGCCAATCAAAATTGAAGTATCTACTAAAATTTGGATTTTATCTTTAGTTAAAGGCTCAATACCACTCTTGTTGTAACTGAATAATATGTCCCAATCTTTATTCTGGTCAACAAATTGTATTATTTTACAATATTCCAATTAATTGATGATACAAATTTCACCTTAACACACCTAATTTAAAAAATTGGAAAAATTCAACTAAATGATTTGAAAAGCCTGACGTAAAGCTATTCAAATGTGACTTGGATTTAAAAAATATTTTTGAACCCTCTGGACAAGTAAAATAGGATTTAATGGATAATTTACACAACATGTAGGACACTAACACATCTAGTACTTAGAATAAGGCCATTTTTTATTTTCTGGAGCTGTCAAGCCAGCAAGAGTGTTATTGTCCCTTTAAGATTTCGAGAAACAGGTCTCAGGGTTCAATTCTGTGTTTGGGAAAGAGCCCTATTGTTCAGGTAAAATTGGAGATGTGATCACAAATATACAATAAAAACATTTGGCAAGTTTTATGCAATGCGTCTATTCAGAGTAACATACCAACCCGACGTTTCTTTTGCTGCTTAGTATATGCCATTTCCAAAGTAACTTGTAACGGTTTTATTTCCTTTTTAAGGTCTTTGAAATAAAACGTAGAAATGATTTCCAGAAACAAACTAAAACAGACCGTAGGGGATCATTACACGCTGGGAGAAATTATCCCATGATACAAGTTAATCAACAACAGCTACTTAAAGCTGTCAATGGAATGAGACCATCGGTGTCTGAAGAAGAACGGAGAAGGTATCAATATATGTAAGTTAATTATAGGTACTTTATTTACTGTTATACACATTGTACTTTCTATCTTTTTTTAAAACACAATACTTTCTGTCCTTTATTTAAACAGTCTATTTTCTGTCCTTTAAGCGGTGGACACAATAGCCGAATCAATCGGCACTGAAATTCGCCTAGTGTATCTACTGTCATTGGGCCGAATGAAGCGCCCTAATCAAATATGATTGATATATTTGCCTAGAGTGTTCGCTTCGCCAAAGCATTCGCCCGATTGTAAAATTCATTAGCCAATCACCACTCATATCGAGAAGTCACAGGATTGTTTGAATATTAGGGCCCTTATTCATGAAAACTTAAACTAAGATAAAATCGAAATTTTAAGAAATACTGCAACTTCATTGGATATATGCAAATTGATTTTACTTGTCAGCCAATCGAATTGCAGTATTTCTTAAAATTTCGATTTTATCTTAGTTTAAGTTTTCGTGAATAAGGGCCATGGTCATGTAACGTTAAAGGTGATGCAATCGACTGGTGAATTGGACGAAGGATTCGCCTAGTGTGTCCACGCAATTCGATGCCGATTGATTTGGCTGAACCATTCGACTAGTGTGTCCACAGCTTTATTTACACACTACTTTCTGTCCTTTATTTACACATGTTATACTTTTTAAGCTAAAGTTAATATCCAACTGACTATAAATTTATACACAGTGTTCAATGGTATGAGACAAAGATGTCTGATGATTTCTGGCGGGTTGGGTTGTCGAATGGTTAATGCGCGTGTGTTGAATCAGAAGGTCTGTCATTGGGTCAAGTGGCGTGGTTTCGAGTACCCGCTTGTACGTTACAAGGAGTAGGGTCGTCTGTCCAACCTAGGGGTTTTCTCCGGGTGCTCCGGTTTCCCCCCACTGTTAAAGACCCCCAACGCGAGCGAATAATTGAAATAAAATTGAACCATATGTTAGTCCCGAAATGACCTAGTTTGTGTCGAGTGGATGTTAAAACCCATTTCTCTCGCTCTTTCAATGATTTCCGATGATTACTGCCAGAGTTATGTCCCTTGATCACTTGAGAAATCATGTGGACGCGCTAGATGCTAAAGTGTTTAAGGTCATGAGACAAAGAATCAAAACAAATTCTAATGACTTCTGATAATTACTTAATGGGTTGTTACTCATAATCAGATTTTAATGTGTTGTAAATGTTTTAAATACTGACAAAAGTAAAAATATATAACAACCCTTGTTAACTGCTCGGACGACTTATCTGCTTTAATATCTAGCACTGCATACTCTTTTCCATCCCTTAGATATGAACCTTGCATCTCAAATACATTTCACCTCTCGATCTTATGATTATTGGAGTATCAATTCTATTTTAAGCTTGAGATTACTCTTTACAAGTTGTCATTCAAATTCATTTTGTACTTCTTTTTGGTGTTTATTGGTGTAATCCTATTTATACAGTTTATACCTTTAATCTTTTTAACAAATGCTTAACAAGCATTTTTTTGCACTGAATACCAATGTAATAGAGAATTGAAATATCTGTATTTAAATGAATTAGAGATAAAGGTAGAAGAAGAGGTGAAAGGTAGTGGTTGCTCAACATTTACGTGAAAGTAGTTATATTTTGTTTTCATTAGTGTCAGTACATGCTGAATTAACAAAGTGACAATCTGTTAGTTTACACAGATTAAGGTCTATTCACAGCGTATTACCGTTAGTAAACACAAAGGTGTAGGCTGTTTAAAGGGACATTTGATTGAAGAAATTATTGAATTAATATCTGCTTGAATATGTATGAAGTAACCACGCTCATGGGTAATCATAGAATCTATTTAATGTGAAAAAAAATATATAGAGAGATTGAACGGATAAACAAGAAGAAAAAAATCGAAGAGTGCTACACAATATCATTAATAATAACATACTATTTCTACCCGACATGTCCCATTAACCAAATTTTCAGAGCTACAATTACATGTTTTAAAACCAGATTTCTTTAATAGCAGATAATCTGTAGTCAATTACATGTATAGTTATTGTTCAATAACCACAACATATTTTTTTCTTGTGTATTCATTTTTTTTGTTTCGTTTGAATGATGAAAATAAAATCAAAGCTCTTTAATATTCATTCAATTTTTGGAGGATTAAATAAATAGTTAATTTTCCGTATTGTATTGTGAATTAGAATGTTTATTAATGCGTTCATTTGTAATTGTTTGTTTGTCAATATTTATTGTCCCCCGCCTTTCGAAGAAAGCAGGGGACTATTAAAATGGGTTCGTCCGTCTGTCTGTCTGTCCGTCTGTCTGTCCGTCACACTTTTTGGGACACAATAACTCTCTTCCTAATTGAGCTAGAATGTTCAAACTTGGTGTATGTGTTTATTAGGTCAATGCCTTGATGGAGTTCGAAGATGAGCATTTTCCGCTTAGGGTAAGCAGAGATAAGCAATTTGATTGGTTGATGCTTTGGGACACGATAACTCTCTTCCTAATTGGGCTAGAATGTTCAAACTTGGTGTATGTGTTGATTAGGTCAATGCCTTGATGGAGTTCGAAGATGAGCATTTTCCGCTTAGGGTAAGCAGAGATAAGCAATTTGATTGGTTGATGCTTTGGGACACGATAACTTTTAATTGAGCTAGAATGTTCAAACTTGGTGTATGTGTTTATTAGGTCAATGCCTTGATGGAGTTCGAAGATGAGCATTTTCCGCTTAGGGTAAGCAGAGATAAGCAATTTGATTGGTTGATACTTTGGGGCACGATAACTCTCTTCCTAATTGAGCTAGAATGTTCAAACTTGGTGTATGTGTTGATTAGGTCAATGCCTTGATGGAGTTCGAAGATGAGCATTTTCCGCTTAGGGTAAGCAGAGATAAGCAATTTGATTGGTTGATGCTTTGGGACACGATAACTTTAGTTCTAATTAAGTGAGATTGATGAAACTTGGTGTATAGTTTCATTACAGTAATACCTTGACTAAGTTTGATAATGAGCATTTTCTGCTCAGGGTAAGCAGAGCGATACGCAATTTGATTGGTCGAGACTTTGGAAAACAATAACTCTCCTACTTTGATTGTCCCCCGCCTTTCGAAGAAAGCAGGGAACTATTAAAATGGGTTCGTCCGTCTGTCTGTTTGTCTGTCTGTCCGTTCCGCTTTATGGTAAATAAACAAATAAATGGAAAAAACAAATTGAAAAAGAAACTATTATAAATTAATTAAATATGTAGTATGCAATAATGAATTGACATTTAATGACAGAAAGAAAACAGTGAACTTTGCACAACTTGCAGCAAGATGGAAAATAGACCCGTTGATACAACCAAACTCTAGATCTGTAGGCATAGAGCATGTTTTCCCCTTAATATGCTATAATTATTCCATCAAAAACATTGTATGCTTAGACTATAAGTAAAGATATACTGTTTGATTGTTCAATACTTTGTAAAAGATAATTTGTGATAAATTTATATGTGTCCTCTAATTATTTTCCTATTTCGGCGGGGGACATCAGCCTCACTGTTGGCTTGTGTTTGTTTACTGTTTGACGTTTGATGTTGTTTGAATAATAGAGAAATTAGATGGCGACGTTTTCGTAGTAGTTATGTAAAGACACTTTCGAATATGGTAATGTAAAGGTTATTGTCATTTTGTGTGGTTGATCATGGGAATGGAGAAATTCAATTAATGATGGTTTTGATGTAAAGTTAAAGGATTTGATATTCATTGATTAAGATTTTTTTGTAAAAAATAACCATTTTCCCAGGTGGATGCAATCGTTGTTATGTTGTCAGATTTAAGTCAATGTGTACTCTCTTCATTGTACATTCAGTCCACATCGTAACACCTGGCTGTTTTACCTATATTGTCAAAATCAAACATGTACGCTCATCACCCCAGGCCTTGCCACGACCCCCTCCCTTATTCCTGGCATTTAGCAACCAACTGTTAAACCTCACGGCTTATTTAGAGGGGATTCTCGGATTATACCATGTTTGGTTGGCGCATACACCAAAGTTGTGACCCTATTATTATCATGACCCCGTGATGAATGAGTGAATAGGTTTAAACTAAACAACTTCTTGTGTTGAATACACTGGTTATATTGATACACCATGCGGACACCTTGTCAAGTGTAGAGTACCGATTGACTATTAATTATTCTGAAATAGACTTTATAGAAACATTTTTTGACTTTTGTGGACAGGAAAAGAGAAGAAGGAGGTGGAATATATTTATATATTTTTATTTCATAATGTGGCATGCACACAAGTCAGGTGTCTTTAACTGTGTGGGCACCTGGTAGAACCCAGAAAATATCCAATAGGTTAGGCAGTCAACCATACACCTTGTCGTACTTGACTGTCAAGTCTTGACATACCTTATTATCTGCAGTGTATGCATTATGCCCCTTCTCAGATTCCATTATTTAAACAGCTTTTTGATGATTAAATCAGACTTTGCGATTTATGAATGTACGATGACGATGTGTCGACCACAGAGGTTGTTAACCCCACCCCTAACTATCACCTCTGTGGCTTTAACCTTAATCATCAAAATGTTGATTTTATACTGGGAATTCTAGAAATTTATAAATTAAATTATATTGTTATCTTCCTGTGGACCACAAGGTAATATGTAATTTTATTTTATTTTCAGCTATGATACCTTTACATCATCAAGAAGTGGTAACTTTAGTCCAGGTATTAATACGGCTGGTAAAAAAGCAACATTAGCTTGATATGAGTTTGGGATTTTTTAGCTTTTGAATTTAAGAAGAAAAATTCTTTGAATATTAATAAAATATACTGACTATCTTTAAATCCTGTCTTTTTATGCATGGAGTTGAAATAAGTATGTTTGGTGCTAGAAGCTGGAACCACACACAAAATTGACACCCTGTAATGTATCATCGTAATTATACCTGGAAGGTCTTGCTTATTGGGAATAAAATGAAACCTATTTTTCTGCACTAACTGAGTTATTGAAGATAGACTCTGCTTATTATGGATGTTACATATTGTACAATACACACAATATAATGAAGTACACTTTGTCTTAAATATTAATAAGAAATAACATCATTTGGTTGAATAAAACAAACTAAGCAAACTACAGAACTATAGGCAAAGTTAACATTCAATTTTCTATGATTAAATTTGGAATTAAAGTCGACTAGAGTGTTTTTTTGTTTCTAGGAACCTGCAGTAGTGATTGTTGTGTATATTATAAGTATTGTTGTATATATAATGTTTTACTTGTGTGCTGTGTTTTGCTAAAGTGTGCCTTAAATAAGCCCCAACTGGCTCATCTATATTTGTATTTTGTTAAACATACCTATAATATGGGCTTGTGAGATACTCGTGCCTGGGGATCCAGAGGGGTCCTGGGAATTTAGGGTTTGAAGACAAGACTTCTTAAATTAGTTGGCAACCAAAATAAGGTTTGTCCACATTTAATGTTGATTTTATTGAGAAATAAGCAAGGGAAGTTATTTAAGAATGTTTAATGTAGCCAAGCTTAAAGTGCTGAAATTTCTAAATTAATATATAGACATATTTAGCAATTAATATGATTAAAGGCAGATTAATATCAGCAATGTATTCCAATTGGCATAAGCTTATGGTCACTTTAATCAAAAGTATTCATTCAAAAACAGGTATATATACCTAAATATCCCTATTTCAATTCACACAATGGACATACTTATGAATAATTTTGAATATGTTTTTAATTGATTCAGCTAGAAATATTAGAATTAGGTATTTGTTTTGTTATGATTAATATAAAAGTGTAGATTTAGTTGTAGAATTATGTTAATACAAGGATTGTAAAATTATGTTGTAGATCTTTTGCTTTATGTAAAATTATGTTGTAGATCTTTTGCTTTATGTAAAATTATGTTTGTATATATTAGTAAATTAACTTAATTTTATATGTATAATTTTTGTTGATGAAAGTTGAATAAATATTTTTTTTTTTATATAAAATATTGCCATATTGCAGACAAGTTTTTATTGTGATATCTATTTCTAAGATATGATGAAGTAAAGTAGTAATTAAAGTAGAAATATTGAAGTTACACTGAAGACTACCGGTTAAGAAATGGTACTCTGTCACAAAATCCCTTCAGAATAGGCTTTTATCAGTCGAGAAATGGAAAATTCCACTTCACTAGTTTCGTTCATTTGTGTCAATATGATGTTATCGCTGTGTAAAAGTTGATTATTAAATCTAGTGATATAATTCTTTCCGTGTACTGATTTATATTCGTTTAAATTAAGTCCCATAATCAAAGATATATCTATATAATCCACATAGATCCCGGTATTACCAGTATTTTGCCATTTATACCTTGTTACACTGTGACTATTGGTATGTGTCCAGTGCAAGCAAGAAAGAAGTTTTGAATATTATCTCGTACATGCTATGTATATTATTTTGCTATGATTAAATGAAATAAGACTATCTAGTTTTGTGTTTCACATTTTTTAATTAATGATTGTCATTTGTTGCTAAATTTTGCAATCCCGAATGTAATTGCGATGGTAAAAGATAGGAGTACATTCACGAAAACCAATATGAGATATGTAATGTGAGCGACACCAAGCAAACGTGAATTGATTAACTCTCACAGTGATACGAAAGCGCCGAAAAAAACAATTTTCGTACGAAAAAATGGTCATACAGTTTCATTACATAAAACTTCAGTGGGATTTAGCTTTTGGAAACATAACAAAACTAATATAGTTTTATGAAACTGTGTTAGTTTAGTTTCATTACAAGCGTGTATTTTTCTTGAAAAATTGGTTTTGATTTCAGAGGCACGAAAAAGAGTGGTTGGGATATTGATCGTTTGTTTTTTAAAAACCTTTTTGGTCATTTGACAAACTTTCAATATATCATCCTGGTAATTTCGTGAATTGTTAAAAAGTTTCCAGATTGTGAAATATCCAATGGAATGGTGACTAGTTTGACTGGTTAACATTGGTTGCGGGACTATTCAATCAGAAATAGAAAAACAATCTGATCATCAACCACATGAGTTTACAGACAAATCGACGTCTTCCCAAAAGCTGCCAGTGGCTACGATTTTTCCATTGATGATCAGTGATCAAACGGATGAAAACCAATATTAATGCTGAAAATCAGGAGGTTCGATCCCTATGTTGGCCGAGAAAGTTCCTCGGGGTTGTACAGCGTCGTCTCCCTGTGTCAGTTATACAGAACGCAGGATCTGGAAAGGAACAGTGTCTAGTTTTTCGGATGGGTGAAAAGCAGAGGTCCCGTGTACACGCTGGCTTGCACGTAAAAGACCCCTCTACATTTGGAATTTAGTTGCCACAAAATTTCTCTCATTGCACACTATAATTTGGCGTTTACCGTATTCATTATCCCGGTTGGTGCAGAAAAGTGCCGTTGGACGTTATACCCTATTTCATTCAATCATTATAAGTAAGTGCTCAACTTATGGGCAGATTGTTAGGCATGTGATATTAATGAACAGTGTACACGACGCACATATAGATAGGTAAGGTCTATACTAATTCATTGAAGTAAGTAACGTAAGCTTAGGTATTTAGTCAATACAAATGAAGAAAGACCGCGAGACGTGTGACCAAGAGTGATGAAGATTAGTTGATGAATTAAACAGTTTAACATCTGAGTCTTTCTTTTGACAACACTTTAGCACACAATATCTAAAGCATGTCCACTTAACTCAGGCCACATAGCTGACCTGCCGATTGGACAATTGCACCTATAAGACCCTGCTGATGGCCACCTTTCTAAAAGGCTTGACCATTGTTATCACTCCTGTATTTATTCAGTATATTACACTGGTCAATGCGTCTGAAAGGTCGCCAGGTATGCCCAACAATTACTCTTGATAAAATGTACACAAATAAAAAGATGACGGATCACTTTCTCTTGTATCAATGTCTTGGATTTCCTAGTCGTGTTGGTTATAGAATTAAACAATTTCTATGTATGGCATATTTTCTCTTCAAACACGGTCAGCGTGTTACGTTATAGAAGAATAATAGCCGTAAACTTAGTTTTGTCACTTTATGATGTACCGCGTCGAGTTTTTCTTTTTCTTTCATTGTTATAAGGGGACTTGATATCGCATAATGAATTTCTTAAAATGTTTGATGGGCGTCATCCGGAATGGGAGACGGTGATGGTAATTCATAAGAATGGGCGACGGTGATGGTAATTCATAAGAAATGAAATAGAGTTTAACGTCCTACTTTTCTGCACCGACTGGGCTAATAAATATGAGAATACGACATACAGTGTGCTATGAGGGAAATTTTGACAGGACAGGGGCGCTCCAACTGTCAAGGGTTCTATTACGTGTACGCCAATATGTACGCGCGACCTCGGTTTTTTGTTCCATCCGAGCGACTAGACACTTCTTGCCATGCACACCGTTTGCACTACTGATAACGGGAAGCCACGCCGGGATATCCCTAGGAACTTTCTCAGACAACACCGGGATCGATTTACAAGCAAGCATCTTACTCACTGAAGCACCCCGCCTCCTTAATTCATAAGAATGCGCGACGGTGAAGGTGCATCATAAGACTCGACACATTGAACTTTTCCGGCCAGCAATTATTATCACAAGAATGCAATTTGACAAATTAAAACATTTTCGAATTTGGAATTTGCTTGAGAGAGAGAGAGAGAGAGAGAGAGAGGGGGGACCCAGAGCAAAACCAGGAGACCTTACTCCTTGTCACGTACATGCGGGGGATCGAAACCACGCCACTTGACCCAATGACATACCTTATGATGCAAAACAAACGCGTTAACCATTCGGTCACACCCCCCCCCCCCCCCCGGCCGCAATTTTCTTGACACTGGGTAACCTTTAATATAAAACAGAATAAATTGTCGTGTTCGTACAAAATCGGAACAAAAATCCGCTTGAAATTTTAACTTTGTATTAAAATAGATATTTTCATTGGCGGTCAGAGAACCGGGGGAAAAGTTCCTACACAATTAAATTATGGTGCACCGTTGTTTCGGCCACAAAAGTTAAAACAACAGAGATTATGTGCTAATTGGTGCTAATATGAGTTAAATGGTTAGGGTTAAAAACCTCTGTGACCGAAACGTCTTATATTTCTAAATCATATGTACATATATTGGCATTGTATTAACAACGTTTCTCGTTCTTGCAATTTGCCAAATCACTAGAAGCAATGTTTGAATATGTACTTTAGGGAAACTTTGAACTCCATGTGACTGAAAGCAATTTAATTTTCGTCGACACATGCAGGATGCATAGCGCACTCTATTCACACTTAGTGTTCCTGAACTTTAGATTGATTTTAAAAATGACAGAAAGCATTCAAACTGTTACTAGAATACCAATTTAACTAAATCAATGTTATATAGAACCAAGTTAAAGTCCCTGTAGTCTATATAAGTATTTAGTCAATATAACAGGTCTGTGAAATACATATAAATTACATTAACAAATAGGTTGGGATGAGGGTGCACTGAGGTACCCCAGGTTGTGCTAATCTTTCTCTAAACATTGTATTGTCTTACTGGACTTCATCTAGCATTGTTCGCAGACAAAACTGACCACTGGTCACAAACGAACAGTGACAAAATGAGAGGTCAAGCGAGGGACAGATTGTGTCCATAATTAGACGGGGTATGTACAAACCGTCCCCTAATAGCAGGTCTGATCCCTCGGATGACGAGGTCATTGTGTCCATCATTTGTTGGAAGATAACCACCGCATTGATCATGCGGATTAACAGCGCGTGCTGGAGATAATTCGCGAGTATGAAATAAATTCGGGAATACACCTGTGGGCATGTGTAACAATCCCATTATTATTCCTCGATAGGTCGTTTAAATTTCCTTTTCATTAAGATCAGAGTTAAATGTTTAGAACATTCTATTCCATTCAAAGAAATGTTTAGAAATTCGTTTCATCAAATACTTAATCAAAATGTCCCTTTACATTTAAAATTCTTACTACGAACCTTTGAGATTGAATAGCCCACAGGATTAAATACTAATCCTATAATCCATTCACATAAAAATGTTTTATGCTCTTCCAGAAACCAAATAACGGGATATCTGCAGCTTGGTTGCCAGTATGAATGCATAGATATATGAAGTACTAAAATGAGAAATGGTATCAGGTGTTCTAGAAGAGAAAATATATACGAGGGCTGGCTGAAAAGTTGTAACACAGATAAGGATAGATCAACTGGGTTGAAACAAACTTTTGCCATCAACAAGTACAATCATTGAATGAATCAAGAACTACAACTGCATGTACACCACTTTAGAGGATGATGCCCCTTCCTTTTCCACAGTAAAAAAGTGGGCTCTGGAATTTAAGCGTGGCAGAGAAAGAGCCTTGTGGCTGTTCGTCGATTGACCACTCGACATATTGCCAGTGTTGTGGGCATAATCTCATGATAGTTGTAAATACATTGTCGCCGAGTTAGGAATGACAAAAGTTTCTGCAAGATGGGTGCCAAAGCTCTTGAATGCAGATCAGAAACGTGTCAGATTATTGACGTTCCGTGACAATCTGCACCGTTTTGAAGCAGATCCTGATAATGTTTTGGCCAGATTTAGCCCTATCAGACTTCCATCTGTTTCCAAAAATGAAAAATGAACTAGTCGGTCGTCATTTTCTTAGTAATGATGACGTCATAACAGCTGTGAACGACTTTTTTTTAGGGTGGCTGAAGAAAATTTCTGTCTGCCCGGCATCCAGGCCATGTAACATCGTTGGCTTAGTGCAGTGTGTACACTTTGAAGGGGACTATGTAGAAAATAAATTGAAACCATCGACTTTATAAACGTCTTTCACCGATAGGTTTAGAACTTTCCAGCCAGCCCTTGTAATCCTTGGGTAGGACACCCACTACCTAGAGCGATCGTTTGGGCCCGCATTTCAGAGCCCAACTTGGAACTAAAGGCCGCCAACAGTCACTATATCCCCATCTCGAGAAATTTTAATTTCTTTTCTTTCTGGTAACAGAGGGCAATACTTAGGTATGTGTGGTGGTGGGGTTGGGAAGAATAGACTTTTGTTTCTGTGATTTTTCTTGAATGTTAGAACAACAAAACATACTGCTATTTTAAAGGCGTTGGATCAGCTCGTCTTTATGAGTAAGTAAAACTGGTGTTGGTTATCGAAGATGCTGTTTCAGAAAAGGATTTCCGTGGATTTTAAGCAGAAAAAAAAGATCGGGCTTAGGTGAAAAAAGACACACGTCAGATGAATTTATAATATGTTTATTGCTCATTTTGAGGATAGGATGAACCAAAAAACGTGTACAATTGAAATCAGTATTAGTAGTTATCTCAAATGGGCGGTGTTTACATTAACCAAACTGTAGAACTTATTACCCCTATTGATGTAAGCGACAGTAATATCGTGTTGCCATGACGGGGGTAACGCACCAAAATTGAAAGTCCCG